TTTAGTATTATGAGAGCTATCTGACGGGCCACCTCAAATTCCACATCGTGTGAACTCGTCTTAACATCGATCGTATGTAGGTAACGAAAACATAGTAACAAAGTACCAACTAAATTGAAGTCTCATTAAGATTGGCTCGCGTGCCACTTTTTGCGTTATTCGACGATTAGGTCATATTGGTCATATTAAGGTGGTGCACAGAAGGCCGCACTCTTCATTGGAATGTTCGCTTCATGTATCACAAACACGTGATGGACGAAAGTAACTTAGCACTTGCTTGTAAAGTTGTTGCTTTTTATTATTTGGATGTATATTTTGAATTGTGTTTGGAGGTCGTGATTGTTTTGGTTTTAAAATCTTATTAAAGTGCTGTTCAGGTCAAATAGTGCCTTACTTTTCAATAAAGCCACAATGTACAACTCACAAACAGATCAATTTGCAAAATTGAAAATAAACCCCACATTACTCGTAGTATCCAAAGTACAAGTATTAATGACAACTGTCGAAAAGCAAAGTTATAAGCACATTTCAGCTTTTCCAATTGCGTAAATTAGTTCAGAACTCAATTTGACTCACATTCGACTGGTTTATTTAACATTAATGACCGGTATACAGGATAGTATAACTTTCATAAAACATGAATTTTATTTCGTTAATTCATTATGCTGGACAGTAATCATTATTTTGACTAAAAGTCGTTGCTATCGCTGAAATGACAACTAGGACGAGGTAAACACTAATTAATTTATGTACGAAAACGCTATCGATCTGATCACGATACTGTCAGAGAGCTTTTGTTATTGTCGCTGAAAGAGTACATGCCCTCTACACGATGTATGACATTGTCGAGAACAACCTACATCACACATTATGTCACACATTAAGCCTAGCCACTCAGTACCAATGCCTACTATCTGCTTACTTAGCGGTCCCCGCCTGTTGACTATTCCGGGCCAATATTGGTCGTAACGCCAACTCGGTTCACCAATTTGTTTTGCGATGTTGACCCTTCCCGCAATGTCTTCCCGACAGTTCGGCTATAAAACTTGACCCTAAATAATGATTATTTTATGCCCAGCACTTTCAATTAGATACGGAGAATGTTTACGTCATTTATAACAGTATTTGCTATTATTTATTTCCTTCTGTACTGAATTAAGATTAGATAGTTCAAGGTATTATTGTTATTGATAATTGCTATCTAACAAAATATTGCCTTCAATATAAGTAGTTACGTGCAATTGATGTCAAGTAATGGCACGCATAAATCATTTAGTCAACGCTTGTCAGTTTAGATCGTGAGGTTTCATTGAGAGCATAGCTGTATGCGTGTAGTACTCGAGTGGAAGTGATGGGCGCGCGGGCGCAGCTCTACGCGGCCGGCGCACCGCGCACTGCGCGCAGACTCCGCGGCGAATTTCGCCGCTCTCGCCCACTGATCTACATTTCACCTCCAATATGGGTCAATAACTGCCCACGCTCAGCCCCTCCGAGCGCGGCCATTCACCTCGCCACTCCAAATCATTGTTCGCCAAATGTATAGCGTTGTTGGAGGTCGTCGACCCCGCGTTGGTGCGGCTGCTGTCAGTCGTCAGCACGAGAGTCTTCTTCGAACGACACTCGACACGCCGACATCAGCGCATACGCAAACATCCTCTGTCCATCCGATATAAATTGTACATAGCCAGCCTCTAGTGTATCTCCTAATGTAAACAATTATGACAGTCAATCTGCACGCACTTAATTTATATTTATTTTCATAAGTACCTTAAGGCACTTGAATTTGATAGTCAGCTTTGATTATATGTTAGGCCACTTAAATAATTCAAATAAATAAAAAATAGTTTTCTAACATTTTATGTTAAATTTTACAATTTGAACTCTGCTGACGTATAACACTTTCTTCAAAGCCTACAAACATTACCGTTTTTAAACTGAAGTTAGCAAGTAAACAAATTGATCCTACTATAAAAGAAACGCCTGCAAACTTCCAAAAACGGTAAAAACCTTACTCATGTATTGTAATACGATAACCGTCTGATAAGTTAGAAAATAATATATTAGATACCATTTATTAGGTAATTATGCAAAGCCTACCTAATAATAAAAAACTGAGTTGGATACACAATCGCATCAATAATGCTAAAACTGTAATTTCTACAATAACATTTTATTAAAACGTAAAATATATTCGGAGTAATCGTAGTAATGTGTGAGATGTGAGCCGTGCTAGCTAGTAGCTACGCGCAATGGGCAGCTCTGTAGCTATCCAAATATTGTTGGTGAAGGAAAGTGGCGCGCTGAACTGACGCACACTGCCTCCGCAAGAAGTGTCACGTTGAACTCTTACATAAGGACTTGCCGTGCTTTCCAAAATATTATTGGATCTTTTTGCCTTTTTAGCGGACAATGCCTTTATCACGCATCTACATGCTTGTTGCAAAAGAAAGTTGCACGTTCTGAACATAATGAAGACCATTTAGGCCTATCTAAATCTTGACCTGTACATAAAATAACCAATTTAACGAACGGTCCTCTCTTTAGAAACACTACTTTAAAAAAAAAGAGATACGAAACATCTTAATTGTCGTTTCCAGATAACTGTATTCTTTGCATTCTGAGGAATACTTATTATAGAAAGTTTTTGTTACTATACAAATTCCAAATTAGGACAGTTGAAACATAAAAAAAGTATCCAAGGTCTAAAAAGTATTACTTCAGTGGGTTAAAAAAATGAGTGACGGTGTCGTAATGTGGGCTTTGTAGGAGTTGGTGGCGGAGTGTTGGTAGCGAGCAACATTGGCGCGCCGGGGCATGGGCCGGCGGACAGGTTGCTGTGGCCCAAGGAGAAACATCGCTTGCTCTACATTCGTCGAGTTTGGAGCCGATGACTCCTCGTGACCGTGTCCCCCTTAGCGAGTGCTGCTTTATCTCACCGAATTTCTCTCTTCTGTTCCGCATCATCACGAACAAAAAGTCAATACCCGTTCGATGGAAACGCGGCCTAGTTGTACGAACACTTGCCCACATAGCGCCGGCCGGTCTTCAGCAGACCCAAAAGTGAGTGAATACTTTCGCCCCGCCACAAGCGCTAATTGTAATTGATGAGACACTAAAAAGCTTGTTTATTTGGAGTAGTATAGACAAACTATTGACTGTAAACTACCTGAATTGATCACATTATCATGTTTACAGAACTGTTATTTTACTCTTTTACCTACTTATGACTCTAACAAGACTTGCCATAGGCATTCATATGTATTACCGGTACATTAAAGTTGACTATAATCGTTGGTGTAAGAAAATGTAGTCATAAACTTTGTTCTAAAATCGCTTGTTTCCAATAAAATTAGTTGTTACCACAAATCGTCACTGGTTATTATGTAACCAGTGACTATTTATAAATATATATAAACACAAGTAAAGGATTAAATGATTATTGCGATCTGTCTATCAAGAAATATTTAGAAGATTAAGTCAGATAAAGATTCTAAGAATTATCAAATTAATAAGGTTCGAAGTATTAATTAAATTTTCTTCTGCATGCTTAACTGAAAGACGTTATGAAACTTTAGCTTCTTATTGAATTCCAATAGACTTATTAGATTTTTAAAGTAGAATTGCAGTTTCGTTTAAAAAAGTATTAATTAGTAGGATTCATATTTTAAAACGTACCTAATCTGTTATTAATACTATAATCCATCTAAAGAAATCCAGCTGAAGGCGATCGATAAGACCGAGTCACATGTTTACTTTCAGTACTCAATGCCTTAGTCCTATTGGACAGATAGTCCAGTAATGACAAATCCTAGTTTTGTGTATAAGGCATTACGTTCCTTAGATTCTGCAAAGTAAAATTGAAATACTCATTAATTGTTTAGATATCATTCACTGCTGAACTAGGGTCGTCTGCATAAGATGGTCTGATCTCCACAACAAAATAAATATACATATGTATGTACCTATACATACACACATCATTAGCCCAAAAGTACGTACTACGCAAAGGCCTCTTCGCACACACATAAAAGGTTTGTGTATTCATTAATAACCACAGTTGCTCAATGTAATAGGTATGGTGCAACTGTAATTATGAAATAAAAAATACAAGTCCAGGTTTTCTCACGATATTTTCACGATAATCAGTGTCTCTACGTGGGATTCCAATAAGCTTAGTAGGTGGATATGGCTTAGATTGGTATTTCCCAGGTTTCAGGATCGCATCCTCGTGCATGAAAAGCATTAATTCCTAGACCATCACCGCATTCCAAACATACCTAAGGGCTAATTTTTCAATAGTCAGATAAATGTTAAGTATCTGAGGAATAAAATTGTTGGTGTCACTGTCTTATACAAACATTCTGACGCGACAGCACCATAATTATACCCCAGGTAAATTTTATCTAACCTTTGAAAAATCATCCCGTAGGAAAGTATATAACTAGGAAATGACAAAATAAAAAAGCAATACTCTTAATAAGATTGACAATAAGCCAAACAATTAAATCAAGCAAAGATTTTATTGCAAAATATGCGAACTCATTTTTTTTTCCGTAAACAATAAATAATACGGAAGTTTGCTTGGAAATCAAAAAAATATCTGAATCAGCTGTAAATAATTATAATCTTATAAAACTGCGCATTTAACATTTCCATTTTCGCTTGCTACGCCATCTGTTTTGTGGCTCGCGAACATAGATAACATTACGTTGAAAATCAATATTTTCTACCGAAACTACTTGGTACATTGGTTTATCAGTCGCTTATACTACAGCCAAGTATCACGTCTACCACTTTCTTGCTATTATGTAATACGTGAATAGAAAAATTACATAGGTACTCATTTTCGAAATAGACTATGTAAACCGGAAGATATATTTACTGACAGAACTTAATTGTGCTCGATATATAGAAATCGATTCGTAACTATTTTATAGGACTCATAAAATAATTGATGAAAACTTTATATACCAATAAAATTATATGGGTATTTTTTAAGATCAAATGACTTGCATGCCCTTTTTGGTGCGTTCCATCTCCTGGTTCCATGACGGTACATTATAACGCTTGGAACCCCAAATTTGCCCCCATCTGTCGTAGCTACAGCTTGGTGTGAAGGCTGTTTATAAGATGGTGTTTATTCATTTTTATCAAACACTTCACTTCTAAGTACAATCAATCAAATTAAAATGAACATGTAGAGGCACATTTGAACAAGTCCAGTTTTTCCAAGGCAAACCTCTTAAAATACTCACAAAAGTAGGTTCCTCAAATCAAACTCTCCGCCATAAGTACATGCATATTAAATATTTAGAAACCAAAATACTTTATCATTAAGTACATTCAACGTTTTCTACGCACAACGCACGTGCGAAGATTGTAAAACAGATTTTTTTTTCTGTTTTTTTAGAAGTTACATTTTGTTTGTATTGTGCTTCTATCAAGCGTCTTTCCATAACTTCTTCTTTTTTGATATGAATTTTTAATTTATCTATTATCTGTATACCTCAATGTACTTTTATAAAAATGGATTCCAATTTCCCTTAGTCGTAGTAGCACGTGCGGATGGACTGATTCCGAATATTAAAGATCTAAAGCATGTTCTTATAAAATAATTTTTTGATAGTTAGAGGAGAAAGTCGGGAAATGTTTGCTCCACGGGAAAATGCAATCTTTCTAATGCCGTAGCGGTTCGCTAACATAACAAATGACTAACGTTGAGATTGTAAGACACTCAAACGAAGCAGGGGCGGGCCCCTAGTTTTACATAAAATAAACACAAAGCATAAATAAAGAACATACGAAAATACGGTCATCAATCCACATTTTAATTAAAACAAAATATAACTCAATGTTTACAATTATAATTTTTCAAGACTAAACTAAAGATCTAATAAATTCCGTAGCAAAATACGTTTTGTTCTCTACAAATGGACGTAAACGTCGTAGGCCGTAGTCTCGTAGTAGCCCGTAGCGACAGCGTAACTGGTACTCAGTAGCTTTCTTCGTAATCAGTGAACGTGAATATAAACCATATGTAACTCCCCTATGAGAGGCTCCTTTTACAAACTAATAGCTATTTCCCTATGACATAACTCCAGTCGAACTTCGCAACACCATTTTGAATATTAATCTAAGTCAGCATACAAATTATATCTTTAAAATGTTATTCCCCTATATACTAGGCTCTGAATAAATACATGTTAAATTATGTTTTAGTGCGTAAATGTATGGTGGCGTAGTAATCTCAGTGATTGAGTTTTCATTCATACACTTAATTTGCTTTCACAGGTTCGGGTTCTCTAAAGAATTGTGAATGAAAGGTGATTTAGTTGCTACGCAGTATCAACAGATTGGCAAACTTACAAATTATTAAATATTTATTAATTGTAAAAGTGGCTATCAAAATTTTAGAAACCTTGTGCGAAGTTAACTTATAATTTTCGTGGACCAACGAGCTAAAGTAGTATGAAATCGAAAACAATACTTAATAACATATATTAGCCAGCAACTATAATGATTCATCTCAGAGACTAATGATCGATAAACATTCAGTTGCCAAGTGAACACTTGTCGAAATTCCTCTAAGACGTTCGAGATCTCATGACGTCCGTAACTTTTACTTTTTAAAATGCTCTCTTGATTATCAAATGACGACTATATCATTATAGTTAGTTAGGGTTTGCAATAGGTGCACGGCTAAATGTCGCGCGCGCGGCCTCAGCACTCACAAACGGCCTTTGCAGTTCGGCGCGGTCGACGACCCGCCGGGGTCGTTGACTGGGCCCGCATTTAGTTTTCACTTTCGTTCACTAAGGATAACTGTACCATATACGTCACGTACATGCCCACAATTCCGTTGACGGACCAATCGGTTCCTCACACCTGCGGGGAATACGCTATGCCGCCGTCACACATTTTAGGCACCATATCTACTCGTATCTCACGATAACACTCATACCACCATCTCAGATTGGCAATCACTCAGGTCTTTAAACTTTAAAGGATTCGATAACCTATAGCCTACAGCAATTAGTTATAGCTAAGTCGGACATTCTCGATTATTGTACCACATAACTATTTTAGTCTTTTCAAAATGTTTATTTATTTTTAATATCAAGTGGCTCAACAATGCAGCAGCTGTATAAAAACATCGGCATAAATAGAGTTTTACATTGACCTAGGTTGTGACTCGTGACTGATCAGCGCTCGACCCGTCATAATCAATCGCAATAGGCTCATAAAAAGTTGTAAATATATCAGATCTAGTTATTCAATACGAAACGATAACTTGCCCTATGAAACGTGAAGCCATGTCCGTCACCTGCCTAGGCGCAGGCTGGAGGCAGAAGGTTGTTGCACTAGTGATTGCCGGTGTCGTAACTCGGGCGTTGGACCAGTGTCCTTTTGATGCATTTTGGGTACAATTAGGTAATTTTGGCGGATAGTGGGGGAGCGGCGGTAGCGAGGGGGAGGTGCGGTGCGTGGGGTTGCGGGTTCGGCAGTAGTTGCGCAAGCGGCGGTCGTCGACTCGGTTATGTCAGCGGTTTACGTAAGCGTCACCTCGCAACGCTCTCGGGGCAGGCGCCAATTGTAGCCCCGCGATCGTTTCGCACTTCTCGCGGACTATTTGCGGACGGCAACAGTTCGTTAGCGCTCTGCACTCACACCTCTTGACCGACTCACTGCATTGTTCCTCTGCACCCTCCAGCGTGTTAGCTTCATTAGTGCCGCTCGGCGCTGCTGCCTGCTCCTCGTACTAAGTATGAGCATTAACGAAATATTCAACTGCGTTCAATTACAATGGGTGATTCAAGTAGGTAAGTATATATTTATTTGAAAGGTGGCTAGCTTGGTCGGTACATTGTGTAATGCTAAACAACCTCCAATTAAGTTCAACCTTTCATGAATCGATTAGCGCTAACATCAAATCGTCCATTGTAACCGTTGTTAAGAACAGGTGTGCCCTAAAGGAGTAATTATGCGATATGGTTGCGGTCGAAGTAGAGAAGGGGCTGGAGCGGTTGCGTCAGCGCAGCGTGCGGAGAGCGGTCGGGCTCAACGCACAAGGTTGCAGAGGTTCAATGCTCTAGAAATACGACACCCGACCCCGAGCAACCGCATGCTGCGGACCAAACCTGCGTGCGCGCCGCCCGCTCCGCGCGTACTCTGCGCCACCAGCGAGACCACCGCTAACTTTAATTTACTACTTTTTCAAAAAATAACAAGTAATAAATAACAGTTACTATAATAATCCCATAATGTTGTGACTGTCCCAGTTTTACGCTGTTAATCCTTTTTAATTAATTCGACACGGATTATCTCTACATCAGGCTGAATGATGTCGGCTGTCAGTTATTAGGTCTCCCCTCCAAGCCGTCCATCAAGCACGATCATTTGGACCAATAGTTAAACTAGTTCTTCTAAACGATGACAGTTTTGTTTTAACGGTACACGCACAGCTTCGCAGAGTAACCTTCAAAAGAGAGAACGTGGCGTCGTAAGCACGTCCAATGTGCCAACTCTTTTTTATGTACTTGTTTCGCAATTTTTTATAAATAATTTTGCCTTCGACCTTTGTAAGCCGCCCAATTTAGCCCGATTGGTATTCCTGCGGCGGGCGGCGTCGTGTGCTTTTCGTAACTTGTGGTTCAGCAACGCGCGGGCGCAACGTGATCGTCATTACATTAGCACCAACCACACACATCGTGTACAAACTGCTCCTAAAATACTCATTCATTATACAAATGTATTATAAATATTCGTATTACCGCCTGCAACATGCTTAGCATGGAAGTAAATTATAATGTCGGTAACAGGTAGTTAAACTTTGAACATTGTGTCATAAACCTAATCGCAAACGTAATGTGCCACGGTACATTTTTACAATATTTACTTACATACATCTAAATTGCTATAATGCAGAAAACTTCAAGTACATATTTCACAAATACTTGCCTACTTATGTAGATGTTTGTGAAATAAGTATTTGTAGAGGCTTATTTCGAACACACGACAATTATATGTGCATAATTCAAATGTCATACAAGGTGTTCATCGCTTAACGAAGTGCCTACTCAAGTAATTTATTGAATCACTTCCATCGGTACTTACTGTATTTTGTAGAAAGTAATAATATGTAACTGCTTCGCGTTAACAACAGTTTGTCTCTAATCGTTAATCGGTCATTAAGTGTCATACAAAAATAAACAATGGGAGTGCGGCCAACAAATCTCGTTTCATTGTTTTCGTTTTTCAAATGAACAGTTAACCGTTAAAATTTTCTCCGCTCACTTCTTCGCTCATTCTGATTACAAGAAGGTGTAGAAAGCGTCGCAATGCTTATACAACCTTTTAACAGCGCACGTGAGCGACAACGCCAGGGTACAATTTTCCAAGTCTCTGGCGATTCGTGATTGCCAGTTACCACTTTGACCAGAGTTCACCGACCCCGTTAGCTCATTCTACAAAGATGTTCACAGTTTTGTAAACCGGCGCCAACATTTCACGACAATAAACACATTGATACGATCTCCTCTGTTAATACGGCGCTGAGTAACCGTAAACGGTCGACTGATAAATTGGTTGTATCAACATTGTTGTGGCAAGTTGTGCAGGAAGGGTGCGTAAGCGCCGGTGGCTGAGCTGCGTTACCGGAACGGCTGTCCGCAGCCTTTCACGCACTTAATTTGGCAGGACCCCCTTCTCGCCGCGCCTCCCGCACACCTCGCCCAACACTGAGAGAAAGTAGCTAGCCTACGCAATGCTAGGGTCAATGACCGTACTCGAAAATGCTTACTTCTGACAAAAGTGACACATTAACAGCGAACATTTCATATTCTGTATGTGCGGTCAGTTTCTTGCACGGTTGTTGAATGGTCGCTACGATTAGGTCAGGCAGGCGAGCTGGCCTATATTGTGCAGCGGGCTCTGGGGGCCGTGGGCGACTACGTAGGCAGCACTCTTTGGACACCAGACCCGAGGAGCAATTCCTCATTCAATTAATGTGCTCTAACAACTTTAGTTTACAAAACTGTACAAATCAGTCTTATTTTTCCTGAAAACTCGCTAACGAGTAATAATATCCTTTTAAACTATGAAAAAAAAATGGATTAATCTCTCGTAATATAATTGATAATCCACAACATAACCAAAATGAAAACTACCCATATCCGTACGTGCATTCAGTGAATGAGTCGGCAGCTTTCAAATCCAAATTCAAACGTACTACGGTACTTGATCAGATAACGAAGGGCTCGCCCTAAATCCGAGCATGATCAGGGTCATTAGAAAAAGTAACCGTATTAAAAATATAACTGAATAGTGTTCCACTGGTCCACTAAGCGCATGACGACGCGTGCGCCTGAGGCTGTAGTCATTTTGTAACATAACTGAATTTAAACATAATATGCATTGTTGTTATTTATGTAGGCAGGTACTAGTCAACGATGTTATTTATACTGTAAAGAATGGTGATAATTACAAACGAAATTTCTTTTTGAGTGGCTTTGTAAGTATGTTTCGCTGTACCAAATTCATTGTTTGGTCACAGTTATATGAGGTTTGTTGATTTGACAAAGTTGTTAGGCTTCGGAGTCTTCGGTCTTCGGTCTTCGAATGGTATTTAACTGCCATTTATAACAAACTTCCATAGAAGGACGAAGTTTTATTACATCAAATTCCATCACATAGTAGGTAAGATTATAATTATTTCAAGTTTTCTTCATACAACAAGACGCTTTGTTTTTTTTATGCGATAGGTCGGCAAACGAGCAAACTGATTACCTGATGGTAAGCAATCAGCGTCGCCCATGGACACCCGCAACGACGACGGAGTTACGAGTACGTTGTCGACCATTTGGAGATTCGGGATTTGCAGATTTTGGAAAAGGCAACGGATTGGGGTAGGGGAAGGATTGGGCCTCTTGTTGGTTTATCTATTAAAGGAGATTTTAAGACTTTTTATAAATTTATGAATAATCAGGACATGGAGGTTTGAGATTGTGCCTGCCATCAATCTTACTCCTTTTTAAACGAAACGCAATACACAAGTTTAGTAAAAAGTTTGTATTATGTGTTAGGACCCTGAAGCCTTACAATTTCATAACACACTTGACTCAATCAATATTTCATACACGTTTGTATGTAAGTAAAAAATCTTCGCGTTTAATAAAAAAATGTAATGTTATGTTATTTATTGCATACAGAATCGACGTACGTATCTTGCGCTCTAAAAGAAATAAAATGCTGTAGGTCAGGTATAGTAACGGAATTTTTGATCCGGTCCGAGTATGGGACCACGTTATAAAGTTTAAATCTTTTTATAGTCCAACTTTGTATGTGTTTATATTGAAATGTTTGTGTATTTGTTTTCGGTACTTCTTTCTCCGTTGATGACTCGTTTATTGCTTCCGTAATTGTAACAACAAACTTTAAAATGTAGGGAATATAGTTATTTTAAGTTTTTTTAGGGTTTAAGGGTTAAAATCATGACATCGCTTCCTCCCCCTTGGATGGAATGAAAGTGAGTATCAGACTCTCACTGACTTAAAACCACCTCTTTCCTTCTGCTCGAAGCCAGGTCGAGGTACATTATTCTTTTTGCATCCGCAATTCTTGTTGTATCCGCAGCTCTTCTTCTAGATTTTGAGTTCTGAAGTGTTCGTTGACCAAGTGGTACCAACCACTGACCAACACACACACACACATGTAAATACCGAGCTCGAACCAATGTCGATTTCTGTGTATTTTTATTTTTCCATATAAATAGTGCATCAATACTTATATAGTTCAATTACTGCGTAAAATACATAATGCAATGAAAATTAGGAAACGACTTAGTTATTTTGTCTTGTTCACTACGAAGCAGGAGTTTCCGGAATTAGGATATCAATGGCAATTGATCTCGATTTATACATAAATGTAAGTTCCTTACTTCTGTCTTGAACTGAAACAACCATAGTCTAGTGTGATTTTCAGAAAGATTTTGGAACACATAGACAATTATTTGTTTGCCCGTCAGATTTTAGCTGACCTAGGTACCCCCTTAGTCTGACGTTGGTAGCTAAAGTTCTGCTTGGAGTCAGGTGAGTTTCTTGTTAATTAAACTAGGACTTAAAAAACCTTAAAGCAAGGAGTAAGCCTAGTTCTTAGAAGAACAAAACAGGTATATGACTATGTTACCTACATTATATTATGTTAAGTATTTAAATTAATTACAGAATACACCTCACATACATAACAATGAACAGATCACGTGTTGCCGCCGCGTTCTGCATCAGATAAGGCAGTTTGGTCCGCCAATACTAGTACATACATGTGCGCAGTTGCCCATCTGTCCGACGTCCGTCGGTCCATGCAATCAACTGTTAATTTATTGTATTAGCTCGCATGAAGAATGAGATATCCGACTTTATGGAGAATGGTACAAGAGCGTACACGTGCCATGGAAAAACACAGAAAACAAGGACACAGTGCAATGGTTCATTCAACCGGACGTTATTATTCAACGAACGCACTATGATGAAACTACGCAAATCTTCATTATTATTAACAAAGAACGACGTTTCGAAATATTGGACCACGTACTATGGCGTAGGGCACGTACTGGGCCCTTAAACATGCCCGAAATATGACACACGGACAACAAACGCGACGAAACGTAACTACGCAAGTCGTTCGTTGAATACGTGACGTGATTTATTGTTATAAGCCGCTTTCATATTGCTGTAACATATTTTCAGTTAATTACGGCCAAGTACGTGGTATTCGCATGGTATAATGTACGACGATTTACAGTTTTTTTTTTTGTCTATGTAAAACATGAAGTTTCAAGGCTGTAACGGCTACGTATGCAGCTAATACTTTTACGTAATTATGAAAAATACTGCAATCTAGTTTTTCTGTAAAGTGAAATCTAGAAGTTAAATTGAGTTTGGTATCTGCACTATCTGTATGTTGGAGTTAAGTTAGGTGCCAGAGCTCTCTGAACTGGTGCCAAAAAATCTGAAAAAAAATACAATGCGGAAAACATACTGACACTGAGCCCATCTTGAAATGTTAATAAGTTAAATGAATGTACGCCAACAGCACTTACTTGATCAAATAAAAATATATATAATACTAGCAGACCCAGCCACGCGTTGCTGTGGCTAAGGTAAATAATATTGTGACTATAAATTGAGATGAAACCTATCCTATCTTTCAAGTTGGATTAAAATGCACGCGGAATGCAAATCAAATTTAAAATCGGTTTAGTAGTTTAAGAGTCCATCGCGGACAAACACGTGACACGAAGTTTTTCACTTCTGCAATATATATGTTCAATCAATAAAGTATGTGATGATAGAAATAAGATCGAAAATACACAAAGTCGAAGATGAAATTATGATGTAGGCACTTCCCTACACTAGTATGAAATTTCCTCGCTAGGTTCGATTTTAATTCAGACCTTTACTCCTACAGAACTCTCTAAGATCATTCAACACCTAAAAAGACCTAAAATTATCAGCCAAAAAGAACTTCAATTAAAAAAGTAACAAAGTTGAAAATTACGTGACAGATTTATAGAACAGAGCCTTGGACTGAAAGAAAATCGAGCGTAACTTGAATTAGCTGTAATATATTAGTTATTATAGTTAATTTAAGCATTTAACAGCCTCCCAATGTGCCATATGTAACAAAAGATGAATATTAAATGGCTTCTTTCAATAAAATGACTTCATCAGGCGATATAGTGGAACCTATACTTAAATAAACGTGTTTTTATATTAAAGATTTCACAATTTCTTTACTATATTAGTTACCTACTTGATATATGTATATAATTAAATTCTGGTCGTTTAAAATTCATTTATTTTTTGAAATTTCATTAATTTGAAACTTTACCAAAAATTTTTTTCCTAAATAAGCGTATTGCTACGAAAAACCGTAGCATACGTTTTAACGGAAATTTCACTATTGAATTTCATTATCTTTTTTACAGTATTCTACCTTAGACTCTTGTTCTTAGAGGAAAATCTTTAAATGATTTTGCCCGTCATGGAGGCGGAGTGTCAGACTCTTACTGACTAAAAACCGTTTCTTTTCCTGCTCGGGGCTACTCTTCTGATAATTCTTTAGATTGCGCATACTAAAAGCTTAGAATTTGTTAATTTATAAAATAATAACATCTATTCATTAATCTCGCTAAAACTCTGAAACGGCTTGACCGACTTAAGTGATTCCAATTTCCGTGGAAAAAGAACTGGAAAGCTTTATTGGAGAAAAAAATGCATAGAAAAATCACAATTCTAAAAACGTCATTTTTTTTCATAGAAACTGATTTTTGGGCAGCAAGAAGTTTGCCAGATCATTTATGACTAGAATAAAAAATATCCTTTATAATTTACACCTACTAATCATTGTAATAGCTTAGGTATTTGCTTATGTAAGCATAAAGTTACGGAATAAAGGGGCAGGGTTTTAAGACAATTTATAATTTGTCATAAAAATTCAGTTAAAAAGCTTCGGTAGCCGTCAAACAAGACTAAATCATAATAGAGACAAGTTTAGAAATTGTAACATGAAAACCCAATTCTGCTCGGACAGGAATCGAACCCGTTATTTCCTCGGACAACTTACCTTATTGGACAAACAGCTTCCAGTTTGTTACTAGACTAGATGAAAGATGTTAGAACTTGTTACATAAGCTGTTGTAAGGAAATAAAGTTTATCTATACTAATAATAGGTCCTTTAAACCTAAGAAATCGCCGTTTTTCATGAAAAAATTTAAACGATTTTTTTATTTGAAATGCGATGAAAATGTAACACTAATCAATAAACAAATGACTACTTAGAAAAACTATTTTGATTTGAAATGGCCAGTACTGCAGAACGGCAATTTCATAGGACCTATTATTATAAAGAGGTAAAATTTGAATGTTTGTATGTTTGTATGTAGGGGGTAATCTTTGGGACCGGTAGTCGGATTTCCAAAATTCTTTGACTGATAGATA